GACCAGCAGATCCGCAAAGGCAAGAGAGACAATGAAATAATTGGTCTTTATTTTCCTGTGAGTGAAAGAGCAGAAGGGAGGAGGCCGGGGGAAGGAAAGAAGGAAGGCGGGCAGGGAGAAGGAGCAAGAGAGAAAAGAGGAGATGGGAAGTCAGATGGACGATACATCCTGTGAGGTCCAGCTTCCCTCCCGTCACACAACTGGAAAGACCCTGCGCGCGTGGCTCCGTCTGACTTCCCCACCTTTGTGCCAAAGCGTCTCTGTCTCCCCTCTGGCACCTCCTCCACCCCGCACGGAGTCCCTCCCAAGGGCCCTGGCCCTGGGTGCCCTCCCACCATCTGCCCACTGCACCCATCCCTGCATACACTGCAGTCACAGCTACTGAAGGGCAGCAGGGTCAGACACAGGACACAAGATGGCATGGAAAGGCCTTAGGTACTCGCCCGGTGATGTCAGAGTTGTGGGATTATGTGTGATCTTTTTTTCCCTACTCTATTTTCCAAACGTCATTCTCAGGTATTTTTTCCCCCTTTCATAACTGCAAACTATAATGGAAATGATGAGTTCAGACCCCAGTTCTCCAGTCTGGAACCCCACCCAGGTCTCCCCATAAGGTTTCCTCGTGTTACGCACCTGAGTTGTCTGTCCCTGCACACGGCCACCATCACCAGCAGGTTCCCCAAGACGGCCATCACAATAACCGCCGACAGGAACGTGAACAGCACCACCTTCTCCACTGAGCCAAAACCCTCCTTGGAACTGAAAGACACACAGACACACACACACAGAGTGGAAGGAATCTCTGAGAAAAAATGATCTTTTCCCCATTCATCTTCGAGAAGATAACTTCAACATTGGCAGGTGACAATGTGGAGAGACTGGAACGCTTGTGCATTGCTGGTGGAAATGCCAGCTGGTGCAGCCACTGGGGAAACAGTTTCTCAAAAGGAACTTTCTCAGAAGTTTCTGAAAAGGCTAAATAAAGAATGGCCAGATGAATTGGAAATTCTAGTCCTAGGTATATACTCCAAAGTACTGAGAGCGGGTGGTGTGAATAGATGCTTTTACATCAGTGTTCATAGCAGTGTTATTCACAACGGTCAAAAGGTGGAAACACCCAAATGTCCATCAACAGATAAATGGATCACCAGAATGTGGCATGTATGTATTGTGGAATATTACTCAGCCATAAAAGGAATGAAGTCCTGATACATGCTACAACATGGATAAATCTGGAAAGTATTATGCTAAGTGAAATAAGCTAGACACAAAAGGACAAATATTGCATGATTCCACATTTATCAGTGGCCTGAAATGAGAGACAGAGAGCAGAACAGTGGTTATGAAAGGCCTGGGACACAGGGCTATTTAGTGAGGACAGTGTCTGTCTAGGATGGTAAGAATGTTCTGGAAGTGGATAATGGGGATGGTTGCACACCACTGTGAATGCATTTACTGCCCCTGAATTGTACATTTAAAATGGTTATTTTATGTATTCATGGTAAATTTTGTGTTATGCATATTTTATCACAATAAAAAAGATTACATGGATGACTATTTCTCAGGATACTGTATAGGGCTCTTGTGTTGAAGGCAGGTGGGTCAGAATACGGACTATATCATGGATTCTCTATCAACCCACTCTCACCATCACAACCATCTCCCCTGCACTGTTTTTCCTCTTGTTGGAGAAAAAGCAGTCAGAGTGTGTGGTGAACATCTCTGGCTCCAGAGAATGTATATTTCAAATCAAGAAGGAATGTCAGGGTCAGAGAACCCCAAGTTCACTATCATGGTCCATTTGTGGCATGCCAATTAGGAACTAGAAATAGCTCAACTTTAACCTGAGTGACAAGCAAAATTTAATCATAAAAGGAGCTTTTTTTAATTAGGCAGAACTGTCCATTGAACTAAATGTAAGTCCAGTAATGAGAGTTAAAATAAATCAGGAGTCACTTCTGCTGCTGTCAACCACTACTGGACTAAATTCTCATCTGGCCAAAAAAGCCATTCACTCCACTAAATTGGTTCTTAGACTTGTGAGAAATTGGCTTTCTCTTCTTTTTTGCTTTTTCAGTGATCTCTTGATACACTAACAAAGAAATTCCACTAACTTGGTCATCCGTTTACCATATTATCTGCTGTTCATAAAAATAATATGTATGGCAATAATTCTGGGTAAATTTCCACATAGGTTAGTGTAATGAAAGTGGATTGTAAAGGAAAAAGTACAATGTAAATAAGTAATAATTATTATTATATCAAAAGCCCATATAGTGACAATAGTTGAAGAAGTTTTAGGTTATGCTTTATCACCCAGAATAATCAGTTTCAAGGTCACACATGCACAACACATTCTCTTAGAAGTCAAGAATATCTTTCCTTTTGCACTGGCTTTAATAACAAGCACATAACTTCAAAAAAGTCACTTGCATTCTCTGGGCCTCAGTTTCTTCATGGATCATTTGAGGAAATTACATTAAATATCCCATTTATCAAATATGTACTGATAGCCAACCACACACCAAGTGGAGTTCACACTACTGATGAGAACACACAATAAGCAGGCACAGAGCTAAAGAAATATAACTTGTGATCAGTGCTTCAAAGTCATTCTCTCAAACTCTAAGATTCATGTGAATCTAGTAGGGATATTGCTGAAATGAAGATCCTGAGTTTTGGTCTGAGTGAGTGTGAGAGTTTGCATTTCTCACAAGCACATAGGCTCGTGAATCACACTTAGGGTGGTAAAACTATCAAGGGCATCGACATGATAGCGTCATGGAAAACAACTGGTCAGAGGGAAATGGGGTGATCAGGGAACACTGGAGGGGTCACTTAGCTGGATTCTGAAACACGCCGAGCTGGAGGAACCAGGGGAAAAGCAAACGCAAGGGTCCTGAGGCAGGAAAGAGTTTTTGTTCACTACTGGAGGAGAATAAGCAAGGGATAAAGAACCTGAGATGAGCCCTGGAAAGTTGTGAATAGTCAGGACTCAGATCCCGAGAGCTTTGTGTGCGCCGGTGAGAAGGTCATGTTTATTAGACAGTAAATGAGAATACAATGGAGTGATTTAAGCAGAAAAGTGACATTGGAGATATAAATATGACAGAAAGTCAGTCGACCTGTCAGGGGGCCCTTGTCAAGAGGCCAGGTAAGGACAGTGGCTGGGAGTAGGGTTGTGGCCAGGGAGATGGAGAGATGTGGGAAGAATAAAGGTATATTTGGAAAGTAAAGGAATCAGCAGAAACCAAAGATCCTATGGGTAGATAAAAAGAAGCACAAGTGAAAATTATATTTCTGACTTGCTTATCTGAGTAAATGAGATGGGAACTTACGAGATGGGAAAACACATGTTAAGTGTGAGATACCAATAAGACGTTCAAGGAGAGATGGCAAGTAGACCGTTGGAAACGTGTGCCTGGAGCTCAAAGGGATGACTGAGGAGGACGTACACATTGGGACTGCCAGCATTTCTATGGGATTTAGTCACCCAAGTCACCCAAGAAGAAGGCCAGCATCTCGATGACTGAGTCATGCATGGTCGTGGGAGGAACCTGAGATAGAAGCAGAGGAGACAGAGAGAGAAAACCCCAGGGACATCTGAGGAACACCAGGCGAGTGCTACTGTGGGAGCCCCGAGCAAAGAAAATGTCAAATGAAAGAAAAAAAAAACAAACGTGTTCCTTGCTAATTCTCTGGAAAAACCACAGGACAGCTTCTGGGAATGGGTGAGGCAGGGCAGCAGGGCAGCAGAGCAGCTCCGCGTTTTCTTTTTATGTGTTGGACTTTGCCATAAAATCACGTCTGACAAGAGGGCTCCGTCCCCATGCCGGCCACCTCTGCGGAGCAGGAAGACGCCTTCTCCCCCGCCCGGGGCCTTCTGGGAGAAACACCCGCGCACCCACACGGGCCCCAGCCGCTCAAGATACTCCCTGTAGAAGTGCTTCCTTCACCCACCCTCCCACCACTGCACAGTCCTTGGTGAAATAACTGCATATAAATCAGAGAGAACAGTTTATTTTCTTACCAGTCAACAGTTGGCACAAAGGAGGCAAAGGCACTCAGACTTAAGGAAGCCTGCCTAAAACTGGGTTTGTTTTCTATTGTGAATTTTATCGACCTTAGATGCAAGGTCCCCGGTGTCTTCTACCATGATAAAAACCTGGACGTTGACCAAGATAGCCTTCACTTTCCACTCAGACAGACTTCTCTCTGACACGAGGCCCTGGACTCTCTCTTCTGAGTGCATTCACTTTAGAGAACTTGTAACTGTTGACTCTTTCTCTGGTTCTTTGGGATGTGAATGTTTTTAAAAGCCTCTTTCCAGCTTCACAAACTAGGACCATCTTTCTCAAGGACCTGGTAGCCATTCCACTGAAAGAGAGCCATCAAGGAAGCAAGCACCCCTGTCTTCCAGTCTCTGTGGTACAAGAAGAGCCCGACTGCCATGGGCGCGTCGCTGCACGTCTGAGAGCCGTCTCCTGCTTCCTGGGTGCGGCCAGCCAGCTGACACAGATGGCGTGCGATCGCCACTCCCATTCCTTTTCTGAAAACCTCTCCGGCCCTTTGTTTCAGCCAAACCGAGTTTGCACTGCATTTTGGTGTCTCTCCCCTAATACAGTAGCCTTGAAAAAGTTGTCCTATTCAGGTTTGTCTAGTGGAATTTTTGCTTTGACAATATACCTCATTTTTTATGACTAATCAGGCCTTGTGTGTACCATCCTCATTACCTTTATCATCTGCCATGAAAAAAGCAACAACAGTTGGGGTGCATATAAAAGAAGAAAACCCAGGTGATATTTGCATTGGTCATAGTTCTTATGTAAATTAGTTTTAAGTGCCTTCTTAATTAAAGTAGAAATAGAGTCCATGAGTGTGTTGTTTTCCCTTATAACCAAAAACTTGAGAAATAATGCAACTGTAACCTTTTTAAGGTATAGCTCATTTTCTTTAAATATATGCACCATTTTTTTCTAGGTTTCTTGAGATACTAATGTACAAACAATGATCATATCCCATGAAACAATAAAACTATGACCGACAATCTCTGCAGCAACCAGCCCGGGAAGGTCGGGACAAGTTCAATGACCACCAGCTTCTGTATTTTTTCCCCTCCTGTTTCCAACTCAAGACCAACTACAGAAAATCAAATACGCCCCTTAAACTAATTATGTAAGATGCCCCATTTCCTGTGAGGCCCAGTCCTGCTTCCCTATGCCAACAACCTCCAGTCAGAGCACCGCTGAAGCCGTGTTTTTTTCACTATGAGCTTTTCTACTCCCCTGCCTTTGAGTCTCTGCTAAATACAGGTGATGCTGGCTGACCCCCTCACTACAGCAAACTGAATAAATGCCTCTGTTCTCACTCATGGTCTTCATTTATTTCCACCATCTAGTTATGCTCTAGATGTTACACTTACCTGGAATCCTGTATTTCCAAATTAGGTAGAAGTATTTTTTTTTTTGAGACTATTTCTTAGTATTTGTCTTGTGGCATTCTGGGTTCTTAATGATAAGTTTTCAGGTCTCCCAGCTAACTTTTATTTTACAGTATGCTTTTTTTTCTTACTAATGCATTTTTGTTAACAGAAGGACTAAATAAGATGATTCATATAAAACTGTTCCATAATAAGAGCATCAGAGGAGTGATTCTCCAGAATTAACGAGGAGCTTCAGAATCACCTGGAAAGATGGGATAAAACAGATTTCTGGACCCACCCACACAGCTTCTAAGTCAGTGTGTCTCGGGCAGAGCCC